CCCGGCCCTCTCTCCTCGCCCAAGGGGCACCTGGAATGGCCCCCTGCACCCTGGCCCTGCTCCCTGCTGCTCCCCTGCCCTGGGGCCACCCCACCCCCCTACCAGCTCCCAGGGGGCTGGCTGCCGGCCCTGGGGCGCCCAAGGTGCTAAGCCTAGGGGGTTGACAGAGCAATAAAAATACCCAAACTTTGGTACAGAGCTGCTGTTTTAGGAGCCTAAAGCCATGTCTGATGTTACCATGGCCTTCCTTCAGCTACAGGAAGGTGTACTCTTTTATTAAAAAAACAACAACACCCGCAGGAGGTTATATTTGAAATGCTTATTCAAGGCTGATGCTACTTTTGAAGCTGTTTTCCCAATGACCAATGTAAAGAGGTTGTAGATATATTTAAATTCTGGGCACGAGTACCTGTATACAGGAAAGCTTTTGCACTCCCTGAACACAGGGAAGTGAGTTAGTCGTAGGACAGACACCATAAAACGGCCATCCAGTGCTTTCCCATATGGAAAGCTTACATTCTTAGCATGGAAACCTCCTTCCTACCTTAAAAGGCAGCCCAAACACCCAGCACAAGGTGCTGTACATCCTGGCTTTTACCGTCAAACCCTGCTGCTATTTGTTCAGCTCTAGCTTTAGCTCGCCGTTTGCGTTTTCCGCGAAAGAACGTTCATGACTACTGATGTTCACAATTTCTGTTTTATTACTGTACAGAGTCACACAAAACAGACTATGTTCTTGCTCAGGCCATTTCATTAAGTTGTCATAGTACAGAGTTTCATACTAGGGTAGAGGGGAAATACAGCGGAGTGGCAGATCATCATTTTAAAACTGTCACGATTGACCACAGATTACGCTGGATGACATGCTGTAGCCTACCGCTACAAAGCTAACACTTGCGTTTTAACGCTATTGCTCCAAAGCACACTAACAGGGCGCGCACCCCGGTTTGGGTTTGGTCGTCCGGTCCAGCAGCCACGTACGCACCTTGCCACCGCCGCGCACAACACTGACAACCAGAGAAGTGGACAAATGGCATAAAATACTCACGTCAGTCGTGTACGAAGCTAGGGAAGGGCATCTCAGGTGGAGGCAAACGGGGACCACAAGCCAAATATAACTTAAAATATTTCTTTGCCAAGCTGGCGAGGAAGACGCACATGAAACGCGAGGGCCTAAGTGACAATTTTGTTGCAGGGAGGTTGGTCACAAACAGGAGCCTTAAAACCCATGCGAGAAGTGAAGAACCAAGTTGCTTAGAAGAGCCAGCATCTTCCAAGGCTTTGCTCCCCTTCCCTTGCAAGTGCTGCAAACCTCCCGGGCCCTTTCATCCGAGCTGTGATACCCAGAATAGCATACGTGAAAAATAAGTTTGATCACTCTGAAAAAACATTTTTTTCTTTTTTTTTTGAGCATGCCAGAAGGTTTTTTTTTTTTTGTACGCGGGTGGTAGAGACAGCACTACTTTAATAGTACTACAACGCTTAGGACAATGAGTCGACGAGTCAGTACCAAGTTGTACTTCAGATAAGTGTTTAGATTAAAAACAAACTGAAGATCAGCATGCCAGCTGATACCCACGCGGTACCTGCAGAGAGCCCTACATACCTGCGGCAGTTACTACCTGGGGGCTACTATGATATTCCTGCTTTGGCAATGGAAAAGGGCAGCACTCATGTCAAATAAAGCAAGTCCTTCTTCATTCTCTGCATGTCCCCAGTGCGTCTGAAAATTACTCCATCTTAAAGCAATACCGCTTTGCTGGCTCCCGCCAAGAAACTGCACAGGCTCCTTAAGTCCCTCTTGATATATACACGTGAAATAGGTAGCTTTATCGTCTCTACTTAAACTAAGCATTGCACAAAAGCGCCTGAGTTGCAGACGTTTTAAAACACATCTTTGTAATGACTACAGGAATTTTTAAAGAGTCTACACCTTTTCAAAGCAAGCTTCGAGTAATCCGTCACTCAGAGAGCTGAGGGAAGGTCCCTGGATCATATCAAGTCTCAGTCGACAATTCTGCACAGCACAACAACGAGCAGAAAGATCATGAACTAACCAGTCTTGCCTGGCACACACAACAGAGCTGTATTAGAGACAGCAGCAGGACTTCAGGTAAATGAAAAGTTAGAAAAATATATTATTACTCAGGTCAAGTTATCTCGGGATAGGAGGGATGGGACGCACCACAAAATAAAATAAGTGGAAAAATAGATCCAAGAAAATATAGAAGAACCTTACATTTTATATTTAGCTCTTAAATACAAAATACAGGATTAAACTAGGCCCATTCATGACTATTCAGAGGGTTGGCACCAATCTAAGCAGTCCTGTCCTCTCTGCATTATAAATGTTTTCCAACCTAGGTCATTCTGCAGTCTGTATTTATACATGCACACATGTATCTGCATAGTATGCACACACACACACGCATACTGTACGTTGGAGTCACAAAGCCTTTCACTAGTACCATTAAAAAAGCTCTATCATTTAAAAAAAAAACAAGATCCAAGCTCATCTGACAGAGGTCCATTTAAAAACACAAGACAGTCACAACGCAGCAATAGATCAGAAGCGATCGTTTGTACTGTACGGGCAGGACAAAAATATTTACATAACCTTAGAAGACAAAACAGCAGAGGAAAAGCAGTCAGAAGCGCACAATTGGGCTCACCAAATAAAACAACATAAAAAAGATTCTGCCAGAAGTGTTTCTTTAACCTTAGAAAGTGATACCCAGAGCATCGCTTCTCATCTACCCACGTTGTCACAACAAAGAGCAGGATATTAAAGAAACACACGAGGCATTTGATTCATAAGCAACAAAATTAAGCGAGATATTTTATCACCTATTCCGTAACGGTCCCTGGCTGTAACACAAGAACGGGTTATTTAGGCGGCATGCCACAAATATCACAAACGATTCACTTCAGGTCCCCATCCCCTTCGCCTTGAATGGACTTTTTGATGCGAAGCAGCATGGTCGTAAGCCACTGATCCAAACGCGATATCGAATCAAACTCTTTAACCTGTTAGGGAAAAAGGAAAGGTAAAAGTGGAAAGCAAACGAGAACACTGCAAAAGATGTACGCTGCATTTTGTTAAGTTTTGTCTTTTAAAGCTAGACGGGTGTGTACACACACAGAGCTTTAAGCCAGAGCTTTAACACACTGAAAGGGGTGGTACAAAACCTGTGAATAGACCTGATAGAGCTGGCCCTGCTTCTGGGGGGGAATGCACCTCCAGAGGTTCCTGCCCCCCGACGTTTTTCTGTGAATTGGTGTCAAATAGTGTCGCGGCAAGACCTGGACCCTGCTGCAGCACTGAGCAACGCAGCAGTGCTCCTGTACAGCTCATGCAACAGGCTACCCACACGTAGAAAAAACAGATTAAAAAACAAAGCTATTTCAGACTGCCCCAGGAGCAGGCAGCCACAAATGCACCTTGAGCAAGCGCTGGACTACTTACCGCCTCAGTGTAGGCCTCGCAGTTTTGCTCCTCATGAGCTTCCAGCAGTTTCTAGCACAACACCATGCAAAGTTAGAAGTCAGTATGCGGTTTGGGTTCAGTGAAATACTGTGCTGCTGGATGCTCCCGCCCACCCCTCCCTTGCATCTCCCTTGCCCAGGGGCCCTGCGGTGCTCAGCAGCCACAGCCTGGGACCTTCTGCAACCCACCTCCCCATGAATGCAAGAACAGGTTTTAGAAATTAGTTTAAAAGTTACTTAGAATAACCACCTTTCTCCAGCTGCTTCCACAAGCATGATATAAATCCCATGCAAATCAAGCCTGATGTCCTCTACAAGGTTTGACCGCAAGACCAAACCCCAGCAAGGAGAAAAGGCGCCATGGGAAAGGGCACTATTCATTTTCAAACGTCAGTGTTATTTTAATAGTGGGTTTACTTACTTTTAATAACTTGCACTCCCTTGAATCTGTGAACGCTGGAAACATTTCTTCATATTTCTCGAGCGCCAGCTAGAAGAGAGAAGCTAACCCTGGAGTGCATTTCACATACAAATACCTGCTTTTTATTTCAGTCCTTATCTTCCAGTCACCTAGTCCTAAAACAGCATAGAGAGCTTGAGAAAATATTCCCAGTACACCCAAGAGCACAAGGACATGCAGACACAAGGTCAGAACTTGGTTCATCGGAGTCTGCTCTGACTTGAAGCCTCAAGCGGGCAAGAGCGAAGCAGCAGAAGCAGACAGGGACTGAGGACAGAGCAGAAAGAAGGAAAACTCCCAGCTTCTGACACCAGTCTTCAAAGCTGGGTACTCCCCAGGAGCATCCTTACAAGTGTCCTGAACATCCTGCCTTGGAGTCACTGCAGCTCACTCTTAATTCCACTTGCTGTGGAGAGTTTAATGCTGTTTTAGCCATTATAGCCCTTAAATCTGTGCCCAGGCACTCACAGCCATAATAGCTCCGGGCCCTGCTAGGCGCCTGCCAACGACAGCACCTCGACTGCTCTCCCAGAAAAGCAACACGGCACTTTCCCAGCCACATGGGGGCAGAGCCCCCTCCCTCCCCACACTTTTGGGGGAAAATAACATATATGCGGAAATATAAGTTTCAACCCATGCAACAGATATGCAAGTTCCTATGCCTGCAGGAGCATCGCTCCTGCAAAGGCAACACAGACGCAGGAAGTTCTGGATAACCACTAACCTTAGCGTTCAGTTCATCCACAATGAAGTGGCACAGGGCAGCTTTGAAGAAATACTCTTTCGCGCTGTACTTGAGCAAAGGATTATCCATAGTATTTGTTCCAACCTAGACATATCATTATTAGAGAAAATTACATCGTTAAGAACCAAATTAAAAATATAGCAGCTGCTTCAAATTGCATGCAACACCACACAACTGTCTGCAAAGAAAGACGGTGAAAAAATTGCTAGTGTCTTTACAAAAAGCTATTGGGAAACTAGACAGATTTTTGACTAATCCAAAGTTAAGGAAAAAATCCCCATGCAGCCCATTCGCCCAAAGACAATTGGTGTCAGGCACTGTTCGGGAGTACCATGTCAATAAATAGGGGGTTCAGCATCTCTGCAGGGATGTAGGGAGAGTGTAAAGGTATAATAATAGGGATTCAGGAAAAAAACCAAAAAGCTTAAGGTAAAGCAATTCTTAAAAGCATAGAAGCAAGTTGCTACATTTAAAGGCATAATCAACTCCAGAATATGCAAGATTTGAAGCTTCTAGGCCCTGACAATTTTGAGAGACTACCACACTGACCTACTTTTCATTTTCAATGAATTTTTGGCTTCAGATCAGGGTTTTCTCTGATTTGCATCTCTCATTTGGTTCGCAGCATCATTTAAACAAAAAAAAACCCTCTACCTTTGACGAGACCCAGAATTTAACATGTAGGCGAGTCCTTAAGGGCTCAGCTGCAGGGAACAGACAAAACTCAGTCTTACAGTGGAAAGCTCATTCCATCCTCCACTGCTGAGACTGCCCTAATTCTTTAACCCCCATCGCTGATGCCAGTGCAAGAGGTGAGTTCACACTAACCTGCTCATAAATCTCAATGGCCTTCTGGTACTGCTCCAGCTGAGCAGCATAAGCAGCAACCTTCAGCAGACACTTGTTGGCTGAACTGCAATCAATACAATTAAAGTAAGTATAGTATTGCCCGAGCCACCGGTGGGGAAAAAAGAAAAATCTGCGCCCCAGTATCTCCAAGCACTACCTCCACTACTTAGCATAAATAAAAGCTGCATATCAGGGCAACTTCTTTGATGGTTAACATTAAAACCACATCAACGTGCAGGAAGACCTTCAGTTGGGCATGGACCTTTCAGTCTTCCATGCTTGCTGTGCATCCAGAATGGACATCCAAAACAAGCCAAGCCTGTCTGCAGGGATAAGAGCCTTAAGTGGGACTCTAAAAGGCTTTATTTAGAAACTCACATGGCATGAAGACACGTGGACCCTAAGGTACCGAAGCTGCTAAAGCTAAAACATTTATGGAGGCTTTGGGCATCCTATCAAAGGAAATCTCAGAAGAGCCTGGGAGTTTGGGGAGAGGCAGAGTGCCATCTAGGAGAAATCCGGATTTCTAACCCTTCCTTGTTGAAAGTAATTATTTTGCCAAGACAACTTGCCTGTTGGATTCTTCTCCCTTGTAATAGTCTGCAGCCTGCTCGTAGTGCGCGATCGCCTGGGAGACAAAAAACACTAATATGGCTTCTGAAGTAACATTTTTGGTTAGAAGAGCGCACAGTGACCACATTTACAAAAGCTCTTCTGCTCTGCAGGTGGAAGAACAGCACCCCGCAGCATTTCTCGGGCAGTGAAACGTCCCTGGCCTCCATCAAACTCAAAATACTATGCCACCCTTTAAAATTTTACTGTGAATTTTGTAAAGACCCCAAACGCCAGTGCATGTTTAATAAAGGTGATACACTACTATCAAGATAACGATTAAAAATTTTCATAAGCACAATGCAACATCTTCTCTCCGTTTTGCCATGATATGATAAACTTTTTATTAAAAGACCAGTCCTGATGTAATGCTTGATTGAAGCAGGACTGCACATGGACTGTTAAAGCTGAAATTGTTAATGCAGATGGACAGGATCTAATGAAGTGGAACTGATGAGGCAAAAGATTCTCTAGAAAAGAGTATCTAGAAGTGATACACTTGCATTCAGCAAACCTCAACTAGAACAAGATTTGTTACTAGCTGACCTGCTACGTATTTAATGTTATTCTGTTTAGAAATCAAACTGCGTGTTCCCTGTAACAGGTACTTGGTTATGCTGACAAAAGAGGCTGCCACCTTTCCAATACCAATTCCACTTTCCCCATCCTGAGAGCCAATACTAACAACTTCAGGTCTGATGAGCGTATTTTCAAAACCTCTGTTGGTAGTACATGGACAGATATCTGCTGGGGACCACACTCTGGTGGGCAGCAGCACTTTGCAGCTGGCTCCGAACTCAGCCTTGGCGGTTTCCTTAGGGTGAAATCCATGCCCAAAGGCACCTCCTGGAGCAACAGGTCTAAACTGCTCAGTCCTTGCAAAAAGCACGTTGGGATGTGTAACGGCAGCAGAAGTCAACCCTAGACCACTGCAGCCTCCTCCACGTAGTATCTTCTGGAGCAGGTTTTCAGGGCCTTGTCAGAGGAAAGAAAGCTATCCAGGAGCTTCACCACCACTCTCTTGCAGATAACTAACTTGCAAATAATTAGGATAGTCCTGCAGCGAGGAGGGAGAAAAATCTCCACTTCTGTCCCAACCTGTTAGCTCCAGCACTCTGAACCATCATGCAAGCACCAAACCTGCTGTTGTTGACTTTTGTAGTTATTCGTCACATAATTAGATTAAACATGGACAACTGGAAAGATCACCGATGGTCAACACTTCACTGAGACTGCTGTAAGAGTAACTCTAATTTCAGTGACTTATACCCCCGTAAAGAAGCCTAGCGTTGGATGAAAGACGAATTTTTCAACCAAGCTGATCTCCGCGTTCTTCTGGATAGAAAAGGAAATGCAACATATCAGTAATAACACAGTCATTATCGTCTTTACCTTCTCAATGTCTACCAGCTCAGCCTCATAAATCTCTGCAATGGTGATGTGATGCTTGGCAGCAATAGTGAATCGCCCCTAGAAAACATAAGAGATTATGAATGAGATGGGGGGGGGGGTTCCCTCTTTCTCCTGCACATACAACATCTACAAAGCTTCAGGGTAAATGCAATAGCTGTATCTCTTATAGTCACACGATTAACCACATATCAGGCCGCAACCTACCCAGCCAGCATGGCTTCTTACCATGTCAGTGTAGATATCGATAGCTGCATTTAAGCAGTTGATGGCCTCTGCAGCGTGAGCAGTCGGGAGAAACAACACAAGGTCAGCCAGCACATCAGACATCTTGAATTTCAGAACAGCCCCCGCAAAAATCGTTCATCAGATTGTGGTAATACCTCTGTTTGGCAGACTACAAACCAGCTCCTTAAATATCTACTCCCATACAGACATATGCTTGGGATGACAGACATACATTTTCATATCCATGCACGGAGACATGCAATGTCCCCCGTGGTTTTGTATTTGCAAATCTAATCACGATTCTCCCACCCTGACCAGATTCAGATACCCACATCTTGCCGATAGCCTGCCTGGTAGTGCAGGCAACGATTCTAACATCGAAATAACTGTCAAAGATTAGGGTGGGCAGAATACAGCCGAATCATACTCCAAGTCTATCAGGCTGCATGCTCAAATGAAAAAAACTTAGAAATACTAATCTAATAAATACATAGGACTGCAGTTTTCAAGGCATTTTGTGTTTTAGAGTTATAAAACAGTGGGTGTCAGTGCTGAGCAAGTGTCTTCAGAGCTCTCTTCAGGAACTTCATTTAGGATCTCATCCCAGCCTTTTAGAAACTCATCCACAAAGTATGTTCATTTAAAAAAAAAAAAAAACATAATCAAATGACCGCTTACAATCACATCTTGTTCCAAAGCAATGAATACAGTTGTACTGCTCCTGAGACGTTACCCAGGGACAAGAATATAGACCACCTTCCAGATACGACTGGCAACATGATGCATATTACTGCTTGTACAGTACTAACACCTACAGACCTCTTATATTTTGTGGTGGAAGGAGTATTCAGTGTGTGATGACTCTAGATAATCTCTAAACCGTGAGGATTCATCTAGCAGACTTACAGCTCCGTCCCAAGCAAGGAAAAGCATCATTAATTCACAGAATTTCCATCAGACTTACCTAACCACAATAAGGCATTCCCTGCCCAGTCATACTCCGCAAGTTATGTTAAATTTAAGTAAGTATCTTGCCTGAAAAGTAGAAGCCAAGGCTATGCTTAAGGCTTTGCAGTAGTGTATACTGAAGATCTTAACCACATAAAGCAGTCGACTAAAGAAAACCATAGCTTACTAGCTACTCCACAACTTACTAGCTACTCCACAACTAAGATTTGCATGAAATAACCCAGGATTTCATTTGCCTTACCTTGTGGGTCTGCTTTTTTGTAAGCGTTCCCAGCATCCACGAAGCTGGTGGCTGAATCGTGTTTGCTCTGCAGCTGCATGTGAAGTTTGGCTGCCTGGCAAAACGCATTCCCTGCAGCTGAGAAAGAAACACAGATAGGATTTACCTCTCCAGTCCCATCGAGTAAGCAGAATTACAGTACCGTGACAAGACATTTCCGTGAATTCCCCAAACAGATCCAAGTCTATGTCTATTTGCAGAACTACCTGCACTTGCCATGTATTTCAGTGCAAAAAACTGCTTCTCAGCACAGCTACCCCAGTTTCACACTGTTAAGGTACCCAGGAAGATAACTGGCCCCAACCCGAGGTTTGGCTACCAGACACAACATGAGAAATGACAGGATGTGACAGATCAGCATGAGGCTGACAGAAATACCGACAGTGCGGTGCGTGACGGCAAATTTCACAGGTGGTTACGGGGGAGTTAGGCAAGAAACATCACTGAGGGGCAGCACCAGGGATCTTTTTGGAAACAGAACCTTTCAAGGCAAGAGATACCATCTCAGTAACATTACACACGCCATAATAACATCGTATATATATAAGTAATAGAACATGCACATGTGCAAATATACATGTGTGTGCACATGTCCCCTGGGACCATGGGTTGGGACCAGCTCCTGCAGAGACCCATAGGAGAATGGGCATGAGCCAGCAAGCTTGGAGCTGCATCATTCAGAAAGAGGAGGAACGAGCCATCTGCAATCATGTTTTTGCAAGCACTGTCTGCGTGCTAGTGGTGCCAGACACGTGACATGCTACTGCTCTCTGCGTCAGTCTGCTGGAGGTCGACGGCACGAACACGGGAATACATGCTCATCCCCGGAAATAGGTGTTCATCCTCGCCACTGGCTGAACCTAGAAATGGGGGGCCATAGCAGCCTTCCATCCAAAGGACCAGGAAGGAAGAATTCTTTGGATCTTGAAGCCCACTGGATTTAGAGAAGGAGCTGCATGAGCAATAGCATAGCTTAGAAAAGCATGCAGCAGCAGATGCAACTCGTGCACAGAGAAATCAAGGTCAGGATGCTACCTTCTCCTGCCAGATTTGTAGTTCCTGAACTCGAAGATAAACAATGCTGCCCTCTGGTTCTGTTGAACTGCAGCGTTTATCCATGCATAAGTTCAGACACATGTTTGATCTCACTTCCCTTAGAACAGGGAATTTTTAGAGAAGGAGCTGCATGAGCAATAGCATAGCTTAGAAAAGCATGCAGCAGCAGATGCAACTCGTGCACAGAGAAATCAAGGTCAGGATGCTACCTTCTCCTGCCAGATTTGTAGTTCCTGAACTCGAAGATAAACAATGCTGCCCTCTGGTTCTGTTGAACTGCAGCGTTTATCCATGCATAAGTTCAGACACATGTTTGGAGGAAGACTTGCAAAAAGAGTGGCTAAGGCCTCCGCTCCCAGAAAGAGGAATTGCATTGCCGTAGGAACAACTGCCTCGGAAACAGCCTATGAACTAAAACCCCACTTTGATAATTTGCACCATGCCACTCCAGCCTTCAGAGGTCACCCCAGTGCGAGAAATGCTCCAACCCTTCTCCCTGACAAACAGGCTGCGACTGTACTTACCACTCCAGTTTTTGGCTATCTTGAACATGTTTGCAGCCCTGGTATACATTTCACAGGCTTCCTCTACCCTGGTATTTCCCCTGAAAGAGAGCGAGAGAGTCAATTATACTGTGCTGCAATGAAATACAGTTATTAAAACATGGGCCAGAAGCTAAAATAAGGTTTGGGAGGTTGCAACCCTATTAGCTCTGGTGAACTAGCCCCTCCGGACTTTACTACATCAACAGATAGCCATTCACCATCACCCCAGTTGTGTCTCACGCAAGGCTTCCATTGCTTTCTTCTCCTTAAACAGGTATAGTCCCAATACACACGGTAAGTCTCAGGAGATACAATGCAAGTGTTATATTGTTCAGAGAGAGGAAAATCAAATTTTACGTAGCTCTGTCACATTGGTATCTCATGAGACATCTTTACAAGATCCTTTCTAAGCAAATCAACTTCTTATAAAATACATTGGCTTGAGCAGGGCTTAAAACTGAATTTTCTCCATTGTGTTCTGGAAAACCAACCGAGGAAACCATGCAAGGTCCACAGTTTGCAAAGACAGTGCTGGAGAGCTGGCTGAGCAGAGCAGGAGAAGCTGAGGCAAGAGTTGGCTGGCTGCTGGCAGCTCCCGTGCCTTCTCCAGCAACTGCCCCCGTGCCACCAGCATTGCTACCACTACAGTGAACGGTGGGGGTGGGAGAGAGACACTTCAGATAGAACATTATTCAATTTTTGAATATTTTTAAAATACTCCAGATGTCAGTCTCCCAGTCCAGATCGCCAAAGGACTACCTAAACGGAGCTATCTATCTACATAAAGAAGTGGTCCAAGGGTGGCGAGGGCAGGGCTGCATCTGCCCAGCAACACGTTCCGGGTTGAACCATCTGTGCAAGCAAAACGCAGGGCCTGCATCCTAAAACGGGGAAGGATTTCCAGTCCTCTAGAAAGCAGGATAACAGAAGTGTGGGAAACAACTGGATTTCTTAACTGCCTTGCATGCTGCATAGGCAGGTTTTGAAGTCAGAAAAATCAAGGAAGCAGAGAGAAGTTCAGTTAACACTTGATTAGGTCTCCCATGCCATGGTGCAAACAATGAGCTGGTGGAAGCTGACAAAAATGACAACAATCAAGTCTTTTCTAGAGAGAAGAAGCTTTTTTTTTTTTAAATCATTCCATAAAGCAGGGGCAGAAAAGCAGACAGAAACCCAGTCCTGAAATGGCAGCCTATGAGTTTTTTCCATCCCTGAAGAGTTTGGACCTTTGAGCAAATCATTAGCTACTCTTTGATTCAGGTCCCTCATCTGCAAAGCATGAGCAGAGCAGGCTGCTCTCCCACACAGGATTACTGTATGGATAAATCCATTAGCAATGCCGAGAGGCTCTGATACGCCAGTAGTAACACTGGGGTGGTGGCAGGAGGAGCACATGTACTGAATACACCACAAACATTTATTGGCTGACAGCTAAGACATACAACCCTCAACTTTTATTCTAGTAAAATTTCAAAGGATTACTGCAAATGAAGTCTGAGACATCAGGAAATCTATTTTTATCTTAAAAACAAAACCAAATATCGTTTCACTCATCTGCATACTAGTCCAATTTATCTTCCAGCTGGAAAGCCCTGGCGGTCAGAGATACGTTCTGGACCTGTCATAGCTCTTCCCTGCAGGACCCCAAACGTTATTTCTTATGGGCCTCATGGCGCAATTGAGTCAAACATTTCTTTTTTGCAGCCATCTGTTTGGAGAGACGCACACTTGTACTAAGCACATGAGAAATGTCCTTCTCATTGAACCCAAAGCCAGTTCCCCTTAACTTGTTTTAAGCGAAATGAGCTTTGCCTGTAGGTTGGGACCACTCTCCGACAGACCTACCGCACTGAGCCCTCGTCTGCAGCTGCTCATTGGTGCACTATAATGAGTCAACGGTGATGAGGGTTACGTTGTGGTGGGTCTGCTATACGCACGCTGCCTGTGCAAGGGGAGGAGGTAGATGGACTTCATGCTGAAAAGGCCATGGTGGGCACAAGCAATCAAGGAGATGCCCGGAGGGTGCTGAGGACCTGATACAGTCCACCAGTGAGCTGAGCAGGGGAGATGCTCTGCTGGGCCCATCCTCACAGGCAGAGAAGAGGTGGCCGAAGACATGAAGGTGGAGGAAAAGACAGCAGAATGGCAACCCTGCACCGCAGGAGAGCAGAGCTAGGCTCATTCAGGGATCTGCTTGTCAGGAGCCCAAGGAGACTGCTCTAAGGGCAAAGGGACCCATGTCTGCAGCTGCTCAGTGCAGCCATGCACCAAGTGACAAAACATGCAGAAAAGGCCAAGGGACTTGGTACTTTTTTGCCCATTTTCACTGGTAATGGCTGCCCTCCTGCCTCTCAGTTCCCCAGTCCTACCAGCAGTGTCTGTGGGAGCTGAACATCACCCACGCTAGGGAAAAAATAGAGGTAGGGAGCACATACATCCTTTGACCACACCCAAGTACATCGGACCCACATGGGATGCATCCTAGGGCACCAAGGCTGGTGGCCAGCGTCACAGCAAGGCCACTTTCTGTCATCTCTGAAAGGTCATGGCAATCGGGGGAAGTTCATCAGGATCTGCAAAAGGCAGATGTCACACCCATCTTCAGGCAAGAAAGCCAGGAAGGAGGGTTTGGGAAGCTACAAGCTGCTCAGCCTAACCTCAGTCCCTGGGAAGATTATGGAGTAAATCGTCCAGAAAGCCCTTTCCAGTCACTTGAACATGAAGATAATTGGGAGCAAATCACATCTGACCAACCCGACTGCCTTCTACAAAGAGGCTACCGGCTGCGTAGGTAGAGGAAGAGCAGTAGATGTCGTATATTTTGACTTCAGCAAGGCCTTTGACATGGTCTGTCATTGTATCCTTATGGCCAAACTGGAGAGATATCAGCTGGACAAGTGGATAATAACGTAGGTGGAAAATCAGCTGGACCATCAGGCTTAAAATAGTGATAAGCAGCACAAAGTCCAACCAGTGGCATTCCTCAGCGCCAATATTGTTTAATATCTTTATTAATGAGCTGGGTGGAGTGCTGGGAAGGAGGGCACTCCCAGCAAACCTGTGGATGATATCAAACTGGGGGCAGCAGTTGAACCATTGGAGGGCAGAGCTGCTATTCAGAGGGACTCCAACAGGCTTCAAAAATGGACTGGCAGGACTCTCACGAATTTTCATAAAGGAAAATACAAAGTCCTGCATCTGGGCTATAGTAAGCCCAAGCAGCAGGACAGGCTGGGACTCACGGGTTAGAAAGGAGCTTTGCAGAAAAAGATAGAGGGCTCCTGGTAGGCAAGGTGAACGCGAGTCAGCAATGTGTCCTCACGGCAATGAATGCCAAGCGTGTTTGGAGCTGTATGAGCAAAAGCAGAAAAAGGGACACGGTTGTACCCGTTTGGAACTGCAGACCACATTTGGATGCTGCGCCCAGCATTGGGCTCCTCCGTACAGAATACATTGATGTACTGGAGCGAGTCCAGCAAGGAGCCTGTAGGCTCTCTGGCCTTGGAGATATTCAGCCCTTGACTGGCCATGGGCCTGAGCAACCTGATCTAAGCTGAACCTGCTCTAAGCAGGAGGCTGGACTAGGTCTCTGGAGATCACATCCGACCTACACAATCCTGTGATCCTTTCTGCATTCAGAAATTGCTTTAGCATCAGGCAGAAGAGGGGGATTATTGCTAGTAACATTCCCTATATCACCTGCTCACCATGCACTGCATTTTATTTGTCTACTAGAGACTACTACCGCTCTTCTCCAACACCCTGGAAGGGCTTGTCTTCCTGACCTCAGGGTGATGAAGAGAAGAAATAGAGGAAAGAGGAGAAAAGAAAAAAGCTCATATAAAAAAGGACAAACCACTGTATTCTCAGGGAAAGATGAAATTAAGCCACCCAAAGAGCACCTGCTTCAACTCCAAGATGCACAGGATCCACCCAGGACAAAACGCAAAGCCACTGGGTGAAGCACTAGCTGGTGCCTTATGAAGAAGAAATCGATAGCTTAGAAGAATTTTCTACCCTTTTCTTTCTGCAACAAGCTACAGGCCTGAATGCATATTTGCTCCTGAATTGCACCTCTCCTCCCATAAAACAGTGGTTACAGAAGTGCTATGTCTAGTACTCCATGTCTGGTACTCAATGCAGCAAGGATCTGAGGAAGCATTACAAGCAAGACGTGATCCTTTCAACTCAGAGAGAGAGCGAAGCTGAAGAAACCAGCTTTGGAGGCTTGAAAGCCAAGTGTCTGAACCTCCAGATTTAACCTGGTTTAAGAGGGAATTACGCATGTTGACCCAAGGCCTGCATTTCCAAAAATAAATCATAAAACCTGCAAGGTTGTTGAGCCCTGTGAGCTGTCCCTCACAGTACAAACGCTCATGTCACAGCAGCAGAGAGGGGCACTTTATTGTGCTAATAAAAGTATTTTCAATGCACAAAACTCTTAAGTATCTCCAAGTTGGGAGCAACACTCAAGCTCTGTTATGCCACCTCCTTGGCCTCCTTCCCTGCATCTACTTTTCATCTGAGCCCAGGCCAAAACCAATGCATCATTTGCCACAGTCGTCTAGATGGTTACAGACAGATGATCTCAAGATAAAGGATCTTTTTTTCCCTTTCTGTGGCATTTAGCAAATGGGAGGTTCAGCATCAGGTCCTTCACGAAACAGCCTGCCCTGGCGACAGGCTGCATCCACAAACTCCCTTGGGACATGCAATTTCGCACAAAACATTTATGTGAGAAGAGTTTCGCCCAGCACAGTTCAAATTCTTCCTTACTCCGGTGGTGTCAATATAAGAAATTTAACCAAGTTTGCAAGCAATATGAGACACTTTGCAAAATACCTGCAAAAACAGAGAGTCCAGTAGGTGACAAGAAATACGACACCGTTCAGAGAATGTAAAATAAAACAAAAATTAAAAGATGCTATACACTTCACCACCTGCATCGTGAACACGAGCAAACGCTCTCGTAGAGTAAATCTACGTTATCAAACCAAACTTCGACATGCCATTTGGTTTTCAACTCTGTCTATATTTTCTGGTAAGGAACATAACGGAAAGAACAATTGAAAACATTTT